TTTCCCCTCACACTGTAACCAGTAAAATATCAAATAACTCTGCATAATATGGAGAAAGTAGGGAAATGACACGTGAACGTGCTTAAAAACAGTGCCATAAGATTTTAAAAATATGCATACCAAGCCAAACTAGTTTACTTATAACAGGAAAACAGCAAAGATATATTTTCTCAACCACAAAATGCTTACGTCAATGTCACTCTAAAGACAAAGCTGGTATTTACCAGAACAGTTTTAATTGTGGTTTTAGTATTTATTATTATATAATCCTATTATAAAAATGCTGCAACTGTTATCATTCATGAGAGCTTAATCTTTATTTCTCAGATGTTTTCATTCTTTCATTGGGATTTTATGACAGTAATTTTACAAGTGATACCAAGTAGCCAAGAATCATAAATAAAAGCCAATGTATCAATTTTCAAATTAATTTTTCAGAAGTTCCTTCTCAACTCAGCTGACATGTAAACTAGTTTGGATACCTGTATGGAGAACTAAAGAAAACTAATTGCAGGTGACGCTACAAGTGGAAACTGCACAAACTTCAAAAATGATACAATCCAATCATGTTCATTTTGCAAACATGCAATCTTAACACCTATGTAAAATACAGAGAACAAAAGTACCAAGTCCACAAAGATTCTAGACAACAAAACTCAAAGGTCAAAATGAAACTAAAAATAGTCACCCGAGCCATTTCCAACCAGATTAAATAGATAACGTGAAGTCTTAATTCACAACTAGTACTTTAGTGTTGACAAGGAATTAAGTATCCCATGAAAAAGTTCTCGTGATAGGCAAAACAGTTTTATTGACTAATAATATAATACTCAAGGATATTCAACTAGATTACATTGTTACTCCTAATATTCTTCACCCCAGTGTACAACAAATTTAAGCTCACAGCCATAACATGCCACTGCACAACAAAAAATTCACAGCTGTTGTCTACCACATCATCTTGGCAAGTTTTATGTTTGATCTCTGGGTAAGGGGGCTCCCCAAGAGCTAAGATGTGTTTCCAGGTTGCTAAATTCACTATCCAAAAAATTTTCACAAAGCAGATCATGTTCATATTTTACTTGATACCTATTTGTTTAAATATGCAAATCAGCATTCACTCTTTCACAGAAATTAAGCAAAGCATCAGCTATTTCTGGCTTGCAAAACAGCACAAAATAATTTCCTGTAGTAATAGCAAATTATGTATGTGAAACAAGTAAACTGTAACATTTCAAAACATAAAGGAGAATGTGAACTAACAGCTAAGAATCCTAAGAATTTTCTTGTGAATAGTATACAGCTATCCTGCTGACAGAGTCAAATTACCATGCAGTTGGCCTCTCTGGATCTTTCCAGAGGCCAAAAGCTGTAAACGACCAGTCACTGCCACTGCTAAATCAATGCATCATTACCTGAACTGCAGGTACCCAAAATAGTCCAAACACTGGAGATCAACACAAATTTACATGAGCAAGTGCTCAATATTTCTATTTTTTTTTGAACAAATAATACAAAATATTTTCGTTATACACAGGCACACTACAATATTCATACACACACCCCTACACAAGATCTGTCAAAACCACAACCAATGTAAATTTTGATTTCATAGTTACTAGGGAAGGTATGTCATTCAAAGTCCCTACCAGTTTGATAAATTATAGTGAAAATCCCGGGAGGAACTTTTAATTTAAAATTACTGAAAACATTTTATATTTGCAAAGGAACCCATCTGGAATTGACAGTCATAAAAGCATTTTAAAAGACAGCCTGGAAATAATCAACTAAGCAATTGAGATGGCTTTGCAAGGGAAAAAAATCCACTTCAAGATTTGATCTATTACACATCCTTCTTTAAATTTTTAGACCATGCATGCCAGAGCAACAGTAATCAATCTTGGAAACTCCAAAAGTATAGCCATTTTATATGATAAAGATGGAACTCACCTCGCAATTCATGATGAATTATATCAACTAAATTCGGCTCCTCTCCCCACCAGTAAATCCACAACTCCTTGGCTTCAGGCCTCACATCTCGTCTCCATACACATAGTAGATTGGCCTGTAGGCATCGAATAAAGGTCTGCAGAATAGGATCATCCTGAGCTGGAGCTGAGATGATGGGACCACAGCCCTCCAGCCCTTGGAAACTGTACCTACGCCATTTGATGCCAGTTAGTTCAGCCTGTTGGTTGAGAAATATATCAAAAACAGTCCGATAGAAAAAAAAATTTAAGAAGGACCAATTAAACCTAAATCTATTAGATATGGTGAAGATGATATTTTGAACTCTGGCAGACATACTTAAATTGTCACATTAATTGCAAAACAAAATATGGACTACAAAAACAGAAGTTGCTGGAAAATCTCAGCAGGTTTGGCAGCATCTGTCAACAGAAAGCAGAGTTAACATTTCAGGACCCAAACTTTAACTCTGCTTTTTCTCCAAGATGTTACCAGACCTGAGTTTTTCTTGCAATTGCTGTTTGGTTTTGCAGCATCTGAAGTTTTTTTGTAAACTTTGACTACAATTGTAAACAATAACATATAAATTTGAGGAAATTGATTAGATTAACTCTTGATTGATCAAAATGTATCATCTAAATGGTATAGCAGAACTTCCATTGGAAAGATGTGAAATACTTTCACATTATGAAAATAATGTATGTTTCTACTGAGTACTTGTATATGAATGAAGCACTCAACAATCTTATACTATTTTTAACATGCGAAATTCACAAAATATAAACAAGCCAGAGCAGAATGCCTTTCTACAAAATTTATATTTCCTTACTGCAGGTTATGTCCAAGCGTCAACTGAAATGCATAATGAACATTTAAAATATTTTGAATATTATGAAGACAAGATTAAAATAAAGTGTGGATTGAACGATGCAGTCAATCAAAAAAGATTCACGTACAGAAAAATTTCAACTACAATGCCAATGCAGAAAGAGTACATAACATTAAAACTTCAGACAAGAGACATGATTTATTGCTACACATGGGAGCATTAAAAAAACGGGCACCGGAAAATCCGAAGACAGCGGTGGTAATAAGACAAAATGCCAAATAAATGCCATGTAAACGGCAAACAGTATCAGATGCCATGTAGAGATTACGTTCAACTCCACCTCCCCCCCCCGTAAAAAGAAAAGACACGCTTTAATTCGGGTTGAAATATGCAGACATTTTTCCAGTTCAAGATGGTGGATTAAAAGCTTCCAGCTCTGTTGAGAGACAATAATAATATGCAATACGTAGTATAGGCTTTTGGGAGGGGTGGGGGGAGAAGAGGAGGGACATATTCAAAAATAGTTGGGGGGGGGCGTTAGGGAATAAACTCCAGACAGGAAAATAAGGCCATGTAAACGGTTATGCTAAACCATTAGCAGAAAATGGCTGCTCCCACACAGCCTAAGGCCCCTCTCTCTTTCTCTCCAGTCTCTCTCACACTCACCAGAGAGAATAAATTCGAATGGCAGTCCTCCAAGCTAGCACCGTTGGCCACCCAGTTTGCTGCAGTCATGCTCCGTGCATGACTTTCTCTCCGGAGGTCGAATTAAAGATTCCGTCTTGCTTTTCCCTTGCAAAGAAAAATAATATCTCGATAGAACCGGGAGGGATGAAACAATCACCTCCCCTCACCAAAAAAATACCTCCTCCGCCCAGAGGAGAGGGGTGGGAAAAATAACGAATAAATATGTTTTAAAAACGATAACTAAAAATCTCTCCAGAGCGATGGAAGGAGTGACGTCCGCCGCTTTAGTTCAGGAGGCTCCCCCAAGCTTTGATGATGATATAGAGATAGATAATTCGGTGTGTGTTGTCCTTTCCCGTCGTCGTCCGCCTCCCAAGTTAGAAAAGGGCAAAAAAAAATCACTCGCTGCTACTGCTGTTGCCGCCGTCAGTGATCCACTGAAGACTGCTTGCTGCTGCTGCTGCTGCTGCTCTTCTCTCTCTCTCTTTCGGGCTCCCCTCCCTCCTCTCTCTCTCTCTCTCTCCCACTCACTCACTCACTCACACATACATACATAACACACACACGGAGAGAGAGACAGGCAGTCAGCGTAATGGCGACAGTGCTGAGGCGGGCGGCTTTCCCCCGCCAAGGATTGGCTGCGCCCGCGTCACATGGGCGACGCGCGCCCGCCCCCTCCCCGCGCCGCACACACACGCCTAAGGCCCCGCCCACTCCTCCTCGCACACCGCTCGCTCCTCCCCATCCCACCGGCGAATGGCGGCGCTGGGGTATGGAGGGAGGGAGGGAGGAAGGGAGGAGGGGGCGTGGCCTCGACGGGCACGAGCCGCCGGACCCAAGTGTCATTTCCCCGCCCCCACCGGCTCTTCTCTCTCTATCCCTCTCACACACACACACACAAGAACTCCCCGGCTCGCTTTCGGCGCCTGCGCAAGGGGTGTTGGTGTGGCCGGGTGGGTGCAGAGCCGGGGGGCGGCGAGATGAGACAGTGTGCGGGGTTGTAAGGTGGTGGGGGAGGGAAGAGGGGGACGAGGTTGTTGCTATAGTGTTGCCCGCCCACTGGTGGCGCTCGTGAGCTCTTTCACCGGCAGGAGAGTTGACCAGGCCTGTGCGGCCGGTGAAAACTGTGCACTGGCTGCAACTGTGTCAGCAGGTGAACACCTAGCACCTATTCCTTAAATCCTTAGTTTAACGAGGTTGAATCTATGCATAGCATAATCAGATAATTTTTTTTTGAAATGATGCCTTCACAATTTCATCAAAGCCCAAAATAGTGTTTAGGCGTGTTGCTACTTTGTTTACACTGTTACAGTTCTCATGGATTGATTGGAAGTCTCCCATGGAAGTCGGTCCTTCCCCTTTTAACCCAATACGTGCTCTCTTTATTTATGAGTGAGGGCGTCTATTTCATGGTTAAACAATTCAAAAAAATTGCTGAGATATTCTGGAACTTTCAGAATTTCACATCTACTTTATAACATTAAATCCATTGTATAAATTACTTAATAAATATGTATCCCAATTTGTGGAAATAGGATGTCAGTAATAATATCCAGGATCGCAGATACTAGTTTGGGAAATAACAGAATGAGGAGCCTGGAATACAGCCAAATATGTCAGCAGAAGTTTTGACAGTGAAATGGGGTGGGTGGCGTATCTTCAGAATTCGATGTATTAATGAGGACACTCCCTGGTATTTGACTGTGGGAAAGAACTGTCGAAGTACTGACCTTTGTGTTTATTCCAATCAATTTAATCCCAATAACACAATTGAAATGGCTTATAGTAATAAGCTTAAACTTCCCAGACATTTATGGTGAGTAATATCTTTTATTTAGATAACAGCTGTCTTGAATATTTTATTTCAAACAATGCTATTTCCAAATATTTAATTCCTAAAGTGAGTGAATAACAATTCAGGTAATGTTTCATGCAATAATGGTTTATATTGGACACAAAATAGTTATGGTTTAAAATTGGAACTTTTAAAATGTAAATATTTATTTCAATTTTTAAACCAGGAGAACCTCTGCATTTTCCCTTTTAAATGTATTTCCTATATGGCAAGTGCAAAATCTCCGCTGTGCCGTAAGTGAATAGAAAACACAAGTTAGGCAGTTTCCCTCAAAGAGGAAAGCAACATCAAAGGACGAATCAGTCCAAGCTACTTTTTTACACCTTTGAGCAGGCAGTAATGCAGCGATATTGGCAGATACCTGGTAGAAGACTGACAGATTTTTCAGCAGGGAGTGATGCAATGCATGGGGAGAGGGATAAAAATGGGCTTAAAAATAAATAGAAAATGAGTAATTCATAATTACAAAAGGTAAAGAATTTCCCACAATTTATGATAATATTCAGGTTTCACAGTGTAGCTCAATGTCAAAAGTGTACAGTTGGTGTACTCCTGTTGCTGACCTATACATTTTACACTTAGGTTGCTGTCAATCATTGAACTAACATAGATGATAACATTATAGAAACACGTATATACCTATATTCGCCTGAAAGTGAATTTGCAATGAGCAGTGAAGACAATGTGATTGTTGCAACTGTACAACTGTATTCTTGGAAAGAATTAAGTATATGGTACAAGAAAGCTTTCAACTTTGTATGTCTTTAGTGATGCATCTAGATTTAATATTGGAACAAATTCCACAAATAAGGAAGAGTCAGAAAAACAACTCAATGGTTATGACGAACCACATATTAGTGACCTGTAGTAGACATTGTTCTTATTTTCTCATGGTACTTTTTCTGTATCCATTAAATTTGATATCTTTGAAATTTTGCAGCTTGTAAATATTACATCACTCAGCGACTTGTCAGTTTCTATTGAGTGCATTTAATTGGATATGTCAATGAATTGAGATATCTTTGTACCCTGTAAAAAAAACATATCAACCATATTTCATATAAGAATAGTTGTAGGCTGAACACCTCAGTGATCATATTATGAACCGTACAGAGGTTATTATTTAAAATACTTAGCCGTACATGCTGTATGATGATATTTCAGTTTGAAGCAGCTTCTTGATGGAAAATTAACTATCTATTTCTACATTGAGGCCATCACATACCTACAGGCATATTAATATCAGAGTTGGGAATATTTTCACCACTCAATCATATTTCACGACATTAAAAATCTTAAACCATATCTTATAAAAACTAGCTACTATTATTATTCACAACTAAAATGAATATGAAAGAGCATGATTTTATACTTAGAACTTCACTGGATCTTAGTATCGTATTTTGTTATGAGATGAAAAGAATCAACAATGTATTGAAATATATTTATGTAAAGTGTTACGTCAATTTTTAGATTGTGCATTTTCCTTCAGGTTCTATTTTAAACAGAAGCACGATGGCGTAATGATGTTTTCTAAAGTGACACATATTGATAAGACTAAATAAAAACATCTGTAACAATATACTCTAGTTCTTTCAAAATGGATTTGTGATTACTCTTCCAGAAATATTTTCAACTACAGCTATAATAAAACAAGTAATCAGTCACGTTATAATGCTTCAATTGTTACTGATGCTGTTGCTATTTGATGCTTAACCTAGAAGATGGGCCACCTGACAATAAATGCACAATATTAATACTACATTTTTTGTCTATTCTTTTAGTGTAGTAATACATCGTAAATGTTTTAAGATCAAATTTTAAATGAAATATGGTATCTTTACTTCAAGTTTTCATTCAGTTGGATTCAAATTATGTTCTTCATTAGAGCTTTTGATGATTTTTGCTCCACACAATGAAGATTTTTATTTCAGCTATGAAACCCCTGGGGTTAATTATCCAGCATGCAGTGATAGTAATTGCTGTTGATTAATTTCAATCAATAAAATATAAGCATAAGCAAATAATTGATCTGTAAAGTACAAAACTATTTTTGTATAACATCTATCTAACCTCAGGGTAAAAGAAACCTATTTTTTAAATTACTTTAAAAATTGCCTTCTTTAGATACATGGTTTGCAGTATACTTAAAACTGCTTTATTAGTATTTCTGTTTTACATTCTGACTGATGCCCTTGTGAAAAAATTCTTTAATTTTGAAAATGCTGGTGTTATTAATGTCCAGCACTTTATCAGTGTCATTGGATGAAAATAGTGCTAGTTTAATAATTTGAGAAGTTCATTATTTTTTTCAGGATGATAAAAAAATGTATTATTTTAAAAAATATTGCATTCAATCAGGGAACAATTTATATGATCCACTATATACAGTACTATTATAATATCTAGGATACAAAATTCGAACAAGTTTGCAATTGCTATATTCTAGAAAAAAATGTTATGCATAATGAAAATTGAAAGGGACTATACTCAAAGGATTATAACATTCAGTGATTGCTTTAAAATCATTGAACTGATAGCTGTATGCTTCATTAAATGAATTCTTTGTTATTAATTGTAAATATTTATTAGAAATAAAAATGTGCTGCTTTTCCATTGATATTTTAAGTTGTATTGTCATAGGGGTTCCCTGTTGCACTGTTCTTAAAATGAAACCTAGCTAAGTAGAATCATGTAACAAGTGGGACTAGCATAAACCTAACTCAAGTCAGGCTTATCAATTCAGCAACCACTGAAAACACTTGCCGAGATTGCAAAAACTCTGAGATGTGAATCATGACTGACGTGAAAATCACGTATTTTACTGAGTTTAAAACAAAAGCGCTCATCTGGTAACTTGAGAATTATGTTTCGGAGTGGAACAGCTTACTGAGATAGCGTATTTATTTGTGGATGCTGATTTTACTATTTCCCAAAGAGTCCTTCACCACCTCCAACTGACTGGTAACTTGGAGGGTCATAGATAAGGTGAATAGCCAAGATCATTTCCCTAGGGTAGGGGAGTCCAAAATTAGAAGGCACAGTTTTAGGATGAGAGGGGAAAGATTTAAAAGGGACACGAGGGGCAACTTTTTCAGAGGGTGGTACGTATGTGGAACAAGCTGCCAAAAGAAGTGGTAGAGGTGAGCATAATTACAATATTTAAAAGAGATTTGGACAGGTATATGGATAGGAAAAGTCTAAAGGGATATGGCCAAAAGCAGGCAACTGGGACTAGTTTAGTTTAGGAAACCTGGTCAGCATGGGTGAATCAGGCTAAAGGTCTGTTTCCATGCCTATGATTCTATAACTTAGGAAACTCACTAAACATGCTTTTAACACTGTTTGCAGCGCTGAATGGTTTTTGTATAGCGTAAACACATTGCCTACCGAGCACAACAGTAACGCTATACAGCACCATGCTTAAAATATGATATAGTTTATTTCTTCTGATTATATAGTAGTACATAACTTTATAAATTATTCTAATTCTAATTCACAATAGCTCACAAGAAATGCTGAGGGGTATTTCTAGAAGTTACTAACGGTGAAGAATATTTGACAGAGTGACACTTGGCTGTGTTATTTTAAGTCAAAAAATTCTGTTTATTCCTGACAACTTGGAAGCATTTGTCATTGAGTTGTAAATGTTAAATATTGACTTTCACCTAAGTTCCACACAAACTTTAGAAATGAAAATTTCTTCTGCAGTTTTCTTTTTGACCTGTTTAAGATAAGTTCATTTCATTTAAAGCTTATGTAATTAAGAAGAACATAACAGAATGGAAAAAAAAAACAGACATGCAATCTAAGGAGGAATTTTGACACCAAAAACAGGCAGGTTTTGGCCAGGAGAGATGTTAAAATGTGAAAAATTGTAACCCTATCCCAACTCCCCCAACTTTGATTTTAACAGAGGAGGGACAGGGTTTTGGACAACCACACACTCACAGGACACTGAGCACCATTTTAAGTTTAACCCTGGCCAGCTCAATTTCTGAGGCATCAGAAGACATCCCCATCTAAAAGTCAATAAGGACAATTGAATCCAAGAGGTAAGTACACCGTCCTGTAGCATCTGGTAAATCTATTTCTCACAACATTGGGACACAGCCAGTCCCAAACCCTTCAGATCATCTCTACAAGGCCTCCCATCTACTGACCCCTCCACAAACCATCTGATCTCCTCCACTGAGATAACAAGGTGTAGAGCTGGATGAACACAGCAGGCCAAGCAGCATCAGAGGAGCAGGAAGGCTGACGTTTTGGGCCTAGACCCTTCTTCAGAAAATAGATCTCCTCCACTGTCCACTCTTCTGACTCTGGCCTATGATACCACCTCATCCAACTCTCCTCAGACATACCTGGTCCTGTATCCCGAGCATCTCCTTCTCCAGACGCCTGATCTTAACCTCACACAAGTAAAAGTGCTAATCAAACTCTGCTATTAAATTTACCCCAAGCTCCCCATGTCAAACCATGTCTTCCTTTACTCTCTCTCCAACCTCAAATAACTATCCAGTGCCTAGTGTTTACACAGTATGTTATCCCTAGACTATTCCAAAGCACTTTAGAAAAAATGGATTACTTTTGAAGTGCAATCATATTTGTTAATAGATAAACACTGCAACCACAATGATGTTCAACCATCAGAAAAAAGGAATTAACAAATATAAAGGAAGCTTGAGGAGAATTAGAAGAAAATCCTTCTGTTTCTCATAATAACACCTGACCGCGCACATATATATATATAATACATACTATATATTTATTTTTATTGGGAATGTGGAGTATGTCACTGAACTAGTAATCTATAACCCCAGGCTAATATGGGTTCAAATCCTACCATTTGCAGATAATGAAATTTGAATGTAATAAATAGATCTGGAACAGAAAACTAGCCTAATGATTACCCTATCAATTGTAATAAACCCGGTTCAATAAAGTCCTTTAAGAAATCT